TACGACATATTGCCACCACAATTCTGCCGTCAAGAAAGGGGCAATATAAAAAACAAGTCGGGCTCCGCAATACATTCCGATTTTACCCCCATTGACCTATCGACATATTTCCGCGTAGTCCCCCGTTCGGCAGTTAAGCGGAGCAATTTTTTACATCCGACCACGCGCGTGGGTTTTACGGGGAACGGATTTACGTTATCGGACACCCTCGGGGCCCCTCGCGGTAAAAAGAAACATTTCGTGGGCGGACGGGCATCGCGACAAATTTGCGGGGGTGAAGGCGTGTAGTAAAAATTACATTGCCTTCGATGCTTGCCTATGACCGTCGCCGTTTTTTTCCATGTGCCGAAGGACAAACTCAATAGCCTGTTAGAAGTATATGGCGAATTGATAAAAATCGACAAATTAAGTCATAGGTAGGAGACTATAACTATTTCTAAAATATTTGCAATATTGCAGCTTTATCACTTCTACTCGAAACATACAACTTCATTTTTTTTAATGGAATGTTAATACATTTTTGGATTAGACGAAAAAATCGGATATAGGGCGTTTGCAAGAAGTATGAATGTAAATTAAGCGTAAATTTTAAATGAAACTTTGAGCATTAGAACATTTTAGAGTTAAAAGCAAATAAATAGACTAATGCAATGTAAGCAACTGTTTTAGGAGTTACTTTTAAGCCATGACGATATATTTTGACAATTGAATTAGTATTTATTCAACAATGCATTTAAAAAAATTGTTATTATGATGTGACGAATTCATATTAAAACGATTTATATTTTGTATAAAGGAAATTGCGATTTCTGTAACCGAAAAGTACGAGCCTCTTCTGATTAAGAAGTTTGTAGATTGAATAGCTGTGTGTTTGCTGTTAAAATTTGCATTTCCTTTCATTTATCAGCGACAAATTTGGATTGGATTGAGCTCATTCAGTTTACTGCATTTTCCTGCTGTAATGTTATTGCACTAAACCTGAATATAAAATGCATTTAATAAATCGTTTGAAACTGAATTTTTCATTTCAAAATAACATAAATCAATAAATGAAATAAATTGTTTGATAAATACTATCTAACTGTCAAATTATATCGCTAAAAAAACTGCTACAGATTGCATTCTTTGCTCTAAAACAGTTCAAAATATGCAATACTTTACAAAATGTATCACAGTTTTAGATTAAGAATGAATGAATTTTATTACCACAATAAAATACAGGGATTCCAATTAAAATTCACGTTTATTTCACATTAACGTATTTTGCAAAATATATATACATACATATTTTATAAAATATAACATAATTTTGTAAACTCTGTCTGCTATAATTTACATCTTAGGTCTAAATTTCATTTTTTTTTTCTAAAATGGTTGAAAACTTAATCAATTAGATTAATAGTCAATTATTTCCATGATTTTTTATCTCCAAAATATCTGAACATATTTAACATACAAAGGTTTAAAATTTTTCGATCTTATGTCAAGCTGTAAACTGAATTCCATACTTTTTCTAAAATTGTTGAAAGCCTAATTAATTATATTAATAGTCAATTACTTCCATGATTTTTTATCTCCAAACTATCTCAACATATTTAACAGCTTAAAAATTTTGCATGGAATCCAAAAATGTCATAATATTAAGGGTAGTCCAATTATGAGTAAAATAAGTTGATGCCTGATTCAAGTCCCAAATATTTTAAAAATATAAACGTCTAATAGGCCATCAAGTTTGAGGAACCCTGTGCAATTTGAAAAATTATTAGTAGCTACGAGTATGTAATTTTTGAGTTAAAAAGTTGTTCGTCTCTCTCTGATTCCACTCCGCACGACTTCGATAGAGATTCCTTGGGGTAGTCGGTTGTCTCTAGTTTGATTACATTTGTCTCCTTATCTATAGAATCTATATTCACTGCCCTCTTCCATTGCTGACCCGTCGTGACCAGTCAGTCATTGGACCTACGATTTCTCTCACGGCCTTCGTTCCATGACTTACCGGTCTACTTTAAATTTCGCCGATGGGTTTCCGAAGATTTATTCAATAATCTCCTCTCAGAATTAAATTTCCTATCGACTGGCTGATTGTTTTTTGTTTTCTGCTTGAAATATCTGAACCCGGCTATTATATCTATAACGATATTTCTTTTGGTTTTTAATACTTTGTTAGATTAAGTCTAGCCACAGGCGGCCCGTAGACAGACGGGTCATTTATTGTTCGAGGGCGATGGCCTAAACTATGCTAAACCGAACCCATTCAGGTCCAGGGGGCGGCTTATAAAGTCGCCGGTATATTGCGACCGTCCCGACGCTCGTAAGGGCCAAAGTTGGCGCCCTTACGGGCCGTAAACTACGACGGGGGCAATTCGATTAAATAGTTGCTCCCATATAGACCGTGGAAGGACCTTTAATAGGAACTTGAAGTAGTTGTATGTATAATCCAAGTTTGCGGACGGGACTACCCACGCCCCTGCCGGACACTTGGGGAGGTGCCGCCGAGGGGGGCGGAGCAGCGAAGTCGCCCGTAAAATAGAGCGGCAGAGATTACTCGCACGGAAAATCCATAGCTAATGTTGCGAGTAATTGGATTCAGAAAATAGGAATTCGCAGTAGTTAAGAAAAGAGAATAATGTTTTTTGTACAAAGAAAGCATTTAAATTATTTGTTTTTAAGAACATCAAGATGGGCAGTTTTAGTCAGTTCGTTAATTAATTAATATATCGTTATAATTTCAACATTAGTTTTCATTGTACCATGACTACCACGGCTAGCGGGTGCCTAAAAACTAGGTTCCTGAAACGTATTAACGTTTCCAATTCGTAAGGAAAAAACATTTTAAAGAATTTTCGTTGGTCTAGGCCGTCCAGACCTAAGTCACTATACTAAGAGAACTCTCGATGGGTCTGCCAAATGTTGCTCTTAAGAGAATTGTATTTTTAAAAACGAAAACGCACCTCTCTTCCATTTGGTTTTCAAATCTTACAGTAAGCCGTTCTTGGCAAAAGGGTAATACAAAAAGTGTAAAAAATAAGTTGATGCAAATGATATGTAAAATTTTTCAGTTTCTGGATTTGATGCTTGGAGGAAACTAAAAAGTTAGTTTTTTATTTGAAGAAGAAACAAGAACCGACAAGCGAAATCGGGGTTTTATCCAAAAAAATATTTTCTTCTTAGCTGAAGCTCAGCTCAAGCATCCTCCGTTTCTTTCAGCGACTGTCGTTGAAAAGACTGGCGATCATGCATCTCAGTTCTATGACGGATGTGGCAAAGTATATATTTGGCTTTATGCTACCGATTGTTGATAGTGCAAACGCTATATTTTCATTCTAATTTGGGACTAAACTTTGATAGTGATTTCCGGTTTATGCTCCACGTAAATAAGTGCATTCAAAAGGCTATCTATATGGGTTTAAGATTAATGGATTCGCTGGTGCTTTCTCAAGAAGATGTAACCATAATATAGACAGTGCAAAAGTCGTGTTTACGATTGATCCACGGTGTCAGCCGACGTGTTTGCATATAATATAAACTTCGTGAGGCAAATTGGCTATCAATAGAAAAACGTAAACAGTTTCGTGAAGTCGTTTTTTACTATATTAAAATTTTACGTGCCCGCCCTCCATATCTCTTGGCCAGAATAAAATTCCGAACTGATGTCCACACTTTAAAACATTGATTGAAAGATCATTCTTCTACTATGACTACAAATGGTATGTGCGCGCATCTCTTAGAAAAAATAAAACATTTCGTTAAACATTAGTCAAAGATAATTAGCCGAAGTAGATTTCTATTAATAAGATACTGTACAGTTAATGAATTTATATGTTCAGTATGTATCATAATATGTTAAAATATAAGTAGCTATGAAATTAGGGACTGGGCTTTGATCTTTTTAAAAATTGTTTCTCAGTTCCTTTTTTTTTCTGTGCTTTTGGTTTACTGCTAATAGATAAATGTAAATACGAAGTGCAAAAAACGTACGTTATTATTATTACAATTATTATTATTGTTATTATTATTATTAATATTATTATTATTTTTATTGTTATTATTATTCATCTCAACGCAGTGATTATTATGGAAAGTTGAATAAAAACCAACCAAACTTTTTACTGTGATTTAAAAATGAACTTCTTAAAAATTTGACTAGGCCGTAGAATGTTCTCTGTCACAGCAAGTTGTTCTACAAATCTCCAGATGCTAACTGGACATAACCTGCAATACCATAATATCTAAAAAAAAAATATATCACTTATTCCTGAATTATTGAGTAAAGGTGCTCCGTATGTATAGGGAACTGATTTTATAATGATACTTAATTTGAAAGTTTTCTTAAATCTTCGTTACTGCTGCCACAATATCTGTGTTTTCCTCTACTTTATTGGGCGTTTAACGCCATCGAAAATATTTGGAGCAAAGAAATATTTCATATTGTTTGTAGTGTTGATGATCTGCGAAAACATCCGATGGCTCCGAAACTCGTTACTAAAACAAGTTCTATGTGGTTCGCAGCTGTAGGTTACAAAACTGACTCAAATTACATTTTCCTCACTCTCGATCGGGGAATAATTGGGTATGTTAGTGAAGGAACTGACAAAAATACGTTGTACTTAGGTTATTAGTTTAGGGTACTTTACCACATCATGCATCTCGCTCAGTCATATAACCGTATAACCGCGGCGTCGATATTGATTGGTAAAAGACTATTCATTAGGCGAATGCCGGGGATTCTGGGGCGGATCAAAGCCGAACGCCGCGCATCCAGCGGTAATGCATTTACCCCAATAAGATTTGATCGAATTCCGCACCGGAACAATCCGGTATTAGAACATAGGCACATGCACGCGGGCTTACGCACACACATACACACCGACAATCGCGGAACCGTATATAATATTGCCTAAATGTATGTAGCCTCTATCTCGGAGATTAGAAATTTGCCCAAATCAATGTTAAACATCCTGCGAAACGTGTTCGCTAATCGTTGTCTTTTTGGTTTTCAGGATGCAGGTGGAGTACCCATCGTCCGGTGGCGAAGCGGTTTTGAAAATATCGGACGTCCGGGTCGAAGACGAGGCGATTTACAAATGCGAGATCACATACTTGGAAGTCAGGGAGAGCTGCGACGTGGTCCAGATTGTTAACCTCACCACTTTGAGTAAGTACAGTTTACGTAGACTCAAAAAAAACAATACCCCCAGCCTGGCTTGTTAATTTTTCATAGAAACTTCCACAGGCTGCTGCAATACTAACAAATCTTCTGGGTTCCTATTGGTTAGTAAGAAGCCAACAGGATGATTGTTTTTATTATACCATCATCATATACCAGAAGTGCCCCTCTTATCTATTTAATAACGTTTCATTAAGAGTGAATGACACAAAAATCTACTTATGCTACCGCAAGACAGAAAGAAACTTCAAATATCTCACTTTTATAATATAACTAATTTGATTAACTCACTTAATTAGTGAAATTTCGACGCCTGCTTTGTTTTCAGACGTAGACTAAAACGGGTATTCTTACAGTCTCAGTAATTTGGTTTCTTGGTTTGGCCATCTGATACTACACTACAAATATTGAGGCTTAAGCAGTACTTGGGAAATTCCCAGATGAGTGACTTTCATAAATGCATTTAGCTTACTGCAGCTCTTTTTTTTTGTTCCCGCTGTAATGACGTATAAGCAATAAACCTTTAGTTATAATTATTATATTATAACTTATTGTTCTGGATACTGAGTACGGAGTTTGGAAACACGTCTAAATCACAACCACAACTCATCGTTCACAAATACTGTACTGTACTGTACTCTACGTAGTTTTTGTTACGAGTCGTATGGAATATTTTTGCTACTTTACTTTTTTTTACTATTTACTCTTTAGTATTTGAGATATTTTTTCCATCTTTCATTAGTTGATTTTTATTTATCTAGTTATAACAGAAAATAAAATGTTAATAATTAGGTTTAAAAAAGATATTCATTATTAGTATTTATTATTAAGCGCTTATTAATATTATTCATTAATTTTTTAGATTCGAATTACGCTTTAATGGAACATTAATTCGTACTAGCGTCTATAGCTCTTATTTACTATAACTTTCTGCATAAAATTAAGAGCGACAACTCCTTATAAGTTTTCACATTCACTACACCACAACTACATAACTTACAACAACAATATTGCGGTATTGTTGTGGGTGTAAACTTGGTATTGTCTTATAACAAGTTGTTATAAATTGTGGTTATGTGAGGAGCTTTCGATTCTCGCATTTTCATGCACTAATCTTTAGATTGTCGGACGCCATTCCTTGGCCGCAGTTACATTTTTTTTGTAATACAGTTTTTAAAAATAAAATAAATATTGTTAAGGTCTCATATCGAATTAGAGCTTGTTTTACAGATAGACGACAAGGTTTTGTTATTTTTATATTTATACAGCAAGGAATAAATCCAATCATATGCAGAGTGTTTTCTAAATGAATGTCAATAATTAAGCAGCCGATTTTTGGGTCAATTTTAAAAAGAAAACTTTATATGAAAATATGTCCTAAGCGTCTTAACTTTCAAAAATAAAATATACAATATCTATAATATCACTTTAGATACTTTAATCAAATTTGGAACATATTAATCGCTTAAAAAAACAAAAAGCTCTTCTCTGCATGGTGATAACAATATCGTTAATATGACAGCAAGCAGAGAATCATTATCATTACTTAATTGTCTATCTGTTTTGTTAAAATACTTAAAAAAAGAGTACGAATACGAAGTACGTAAACTGTGAGGGGTATTTTTCAAATCTTAATAATTATTTCTTAACATTGTAGTAGGCTCTGCCTGTAAGAATTATTAATTACGTTGTCAGATCGGTTGTTTGAGATCAGTTTTTGAATTCAGTTCTTCGCGTGTTACTAATTTGGTGTTTAAAATATCTGAGCATTGTTATTTTAAAATAGAATGGTCGAGTTTACTAATGAGGAGTTGGCAGATGTGCGTTTTATGTATGGTTAAGCTATTCGATTATATCAACAGCGCCTTCCTAATAATCATAGAAGGTTGACTCAAACAGGTACTTCAAGGAAAAATAATCATTGGAAAGGGGATCATCGGAGAGTAAGAACTCCTAAAAATGAAGAAGCAGTTTTAAATTGTATTGATGAAAACCCTGAACTTAGTGCTAGAGAAATTGGAAATAATCTGAATATCTCGCACGTCTTGGTTTCGATTATTTTGCACGATTTTCTATTGTACACCCTTCATATTCAATGAGTCCAAGCGTTACCTCAAATATATTTTCCCCTTATATGCACAAAAAATACTATTTACAGACGAAGCTAACTTTTACAGAAGTGCAATCAGAAATTTCCACAATAACAATATTTGAGCCAATAAAAACCCTCATGCAGTTGTAGTATTTAATCATCAGGAACAGTTTTCGGTACATATTTGTTCTGGAATTGTTGAAAATTACTTAATTAGACCTTTTTCCTGCCAGAAAGGCTGAATGACTATAATTATGGCTGGTTTTTAGAAAAGGATTTGGCAATATTGCTAGAAGAAGTACCATATTTAATTAGGAACAGAATGTGGTTGCATGCGCCTGTCCACTTTAGTATTACAATAAGTGAATATTTAAATCACACATTTAATAATCGATGCGTAGATCGCGGCGGAGCTCAACCATGGACCCCTAGGTTCTCTCTCAGATTTAAATAGTTTGAACTTTTTCTAATGGGGGCATCTTAAAATTCTGGGTTGTCGCACTCAGTTAACAGTGTAGAAGAACTTATGGGTTATATAACAGCTTCCTGCGATTTAATCAGAAACAAGTGTATCCTTCAAGGTAGAGAACACTTTCAACAATTTATCTTGTTTCTATGTTCTACTTTCTTTTTAAAAGGTTTTTATTAATTTATTAACAGGCAATTTTGTTAAAAATTGTTAATAGTAGGTAGCGCTTTTTTAAAATAAGAATCGTTTATTATTATATCTTTTTAGGATGTTATTTCATTAATACTGTATAAGTAAAAAGAATAATTTTCTAATATTTTTTTTTCTGATGGACACTTGTTGGTATCTAAAACCTAGATATTTTGTTTTAGATAGATATTTTATTTTTCACAATAAAAGTTCTCGATATAACTAGTGCAGTGGCGACGTAATTAAACAAAATAATATTTCTTCATAGTGGCACGCAGCTGATTTCCTTTAAAAAAAAAAGACATTTGCATTCATTTATGAGCAGATTTGATCTCTCAATTTATTTTTAGTCCGTTTTCACCCAAGAATAAAAACTAATTTCTCCGCATGCTGTCATAAGAACGATATTGTTATGACCATGCAGAGAAGAAAGAGGTTTATATTTTTTTAAACGAAAACCGTACATCAGATTGAAGAAAAACAAAAAATTAAATTTCCTTAGAAATGTTTGGAGATTGTGAGAATAATTTTTATTTTTAAGAGAAATCAGTGGCCTGCCATCAATGTCTGCCATAATATACAAGTGAAATTCAGTACGTCCGCCACTGGTATATTTTAACAAAATTGTGGTAGATTATATAACGTCTCTTGATACATAGTATACACACTTCATTAAATATCTAAAGTGGCATTACAGATATTAAAAAAAAAAGATTTTATTTTTTAAAACTTTATGTATCTCAAAAGGACATACTTTCATATATGAAGTTTTCTTTATAGAATTGACCCAAAAATCATCCCTTTAATTATTGATATTTAATTAGAGTATAACTATAAATCTTGGACTTTGTAAACCCATCCTTGCCTCTACCAAATTAACTGGCTGCTTGTCTAATACGTATATGTCGTATTCGGATCGTATCGACCCCATTGCTGGCACACAAAACCGGAACATCATCAATACAGTTTGACGTGTTTAGTTCTGAACCGATACACACATATTACGGTCTGTCAGATCTGTGCGTGCGCGAGTGTGTGTGTGTGTGTGTGTGTGTGTGTGTGCTTGCCTGGATATATGTATCCGTGTGTCAGTTTTCACGCCCCCTTGTGTCGCTACAAACAGTTCTGATGGCGGATATAGTGCGAGATACTACGAATTTCAAATCGTTATTGCCCGATCATGTGCGTAGGTCATAGACGCTGCCGATGTTGGTGCCAAATATCCGAAAACTTCGTTTCGCAACGAAACGGAACTTATCACATCTCAATGAAATCCCATTGAACGCAGACAAACTAAACGTTTTGAGGGATGAGAATTTTTTTTAAACAAATTCAGTACCTTCGCTGGTTAGAAAAATACTGTTGTTATAAATTCACATTGAAAAAATAAGTAATTTCTACAGAAAATTTACTCAATAGGATTGTTAACAATTTTATAAGGAAAAATTACATCTGAGCAATTTCTACTTGTTTCAAGTGACCTCAATTTAAAACACTATACGAAGCTTTTTTTGGACCATTCCTACTCGATCGACATACTTGCGATATATTGGATTCCACGCAATGGCATTCTAGGAGTAATCTGATGGCGTTATTAGAAAAAACGAATGATTTGTGGTTGCGAAAGCCTTTAATGCAAAACCGAGATTTCTTAGGCCACTTTTTTCAATATTCTCTACATGCAAAATGTTAACTCTGAGTCCGATGCCTAAATCTTTAATCTGAATAACTTTTTGAAGTCTTATATAGTATCTAACTTTAAAGCAATATCAAAAATGAATATTACAAAAGGTGAACATTGTCCCGTGAACTGGAGCTGGACCTTTAAATCACCAATTTCGCAAAAGAAAAGCGTATCCGTCGACATAAAAGCAGTTCCTCGTTTTTATTAATGTTCCTGACACTTCCAAAGTGACTTCCCCTCCATTTTAATACAAATGCCGGAAGGGAAAAATGTTTCTTTCGACACAAAACCCGATCCTCGCACTTCATAATAATCCCGATTGCGGTCTCGCTTTCCCTTTTATAGTAGACAGATGCCGCCCCTGTCCCGCAAACGTTTTCGTAGCAATCGTATTTTTCATACGAATTGGAACGTTTTGTAAGTGGAAAACATTGCGAAAAAAACATCAGTCGCGATATGAATCTGCAAAAGTTTGAAGTTGCACGAACTAACACTCTTTTGTGTCATATCCTTCTTAACATCACAGCGGATAGCACTCAGATATCAGGAATTCC